TCTGTATAACTAGTGTGTGTGAGATCTTTCTGTGATTTGTTGTGACTTCCAAGGACATCATAGTGAATTAAGGCAGAAGACCCCAGAATGTTGATTCCTCCACCAGTGCTCCCCAAACCAGACCACCTCTGCCACAGATAATCCCACTGATAAGAAATTATTAATGTAAAGTGATCTTTCAGTAAACACATTAATGCCTCTTTCGTCTGATATCAGTGTCTCCATATAACGAGTTTTCCAAATAACCAGTGGTTACCCATGAAGGGTTAAAAACAGAAGAGAAAAAAAATCAATGTCCTAGTTCCATATCTTTCTAAGATGTATTATCCATGCTGTTGCCTTCTTAAACGAAGAGCGTCTAGGTTATTTTAATTCTTCCTTACCACTCAGGATCATCACTGTGACCATTAATGATTGGCCTGAAATGTAAAACGCGAGTGTGCTTGTCTCCTTTACTGTCTGTTATCAGACCACCTGTCACACAGTCTAAGTACAAACCCTCATGGTCTGTCTCCTTACAATGTGATGGGAGCTGAGAAACTGTGGGGAAATATTACAACTCATTATAGCTTACCATTTTATGATCATTAATTCAAATCCCCTCATTTTGCAGAGCTGAAATATGAGACTCAGAGTTAAGACTTGCCCAAGGTCACACAATGGATTATAGTAGAGTTGCATCTCACTTAGAATTTGCAGCTCAGAGGCTGGCCCCGTGGTGTAGTGATTAAGTGCATGTGCTCTGCTGCTGGCGGCCTGGGTTGGGATCCCGGGCGCGCACCGAGGCACTGCTTGTCGGGCCATGCTTTGGCGGTGTCCCACATAAAGTGGAGGAAGATAGGCACAGATGTTAGCCCAGGGCCAGTCTTCCTCAGCAAAAGGAGGAGGATTGGCATGGATGTTAGCTCAGGGCTGATCTTCCTCACAAAAAAAAAAAAAAAGAATTTGCAGCTCATAAAGAAAAATATTGTTTAGTCAAAATTGCCATTAGAAATACCTTAAGTTCATCTTTAAGCAAAGTATATATGTTCTCTATACTATAATTCTTGTATTCATTGAAGTTTGGGTACTACAGAGACAGATTGAGAAAATAAGAAAAGGAAATTCTGCAGGCAGATTGTTATCTATTCAAACCATTTGCCTTTAAGATAACCATCAAATCCAGTGAATGAGAAATGGACAGTTTTTTTTTTTAAGGGTTCTTGTCTCTCAATGGAATTTTTCCATTTGGTTTCAGAATTAAGCCTCTCTAACCTTACTGTATTTCGGTTGATGGTTCCCTCTGCTGAAGATGAGAGGATTCAGTTCTAAAACTCAGATGTGACTTAAACACACCTGTACTACAGCCCCATTGGGGAGTGTAGGGTTTACGGGAATACAGGGCTCCTGGCTCCTCTCCCACACTTGTTCTCCTATAAGTCCACTACCTACTTCCTAGACAGCAAGCTCTGAGCATGACTTGAAAAACAGGAAAAAGGTTTGCTAACAACCCTTTCAGTAACGATCCATTGCTTCCTGTTTCTTCTTGTCCCCTAAGTGATTAAGCTTGCTGCACCAGGCGGGTGTCAGTAAATGAGAAGGCTTTTGAGCTACGTTCACTCATTTTGATTAGCATCTTTGGTAACTTTTTTGCTCATAAACATATGGTAAAGCAACATATAATGTTCCAATGATTGTGATTTCAAATCTAAAGTACTATTTATTCATTCCTGAAACCTGAAACAAACATCTGGTGGTTAATGCTTTCAGAAAAAAGTACCTTAGTGCATTTCCTCTGTCTATGACTGAAGATCATGGGCAAAAATAAGTAGATGAGATTAAGCCACAAAAGTTTGTTGGTCCATTCAATTAAAAACAGAAAAAAAAACTAGGCTTCTGAGACCTCTTCCTTTCTGTCTCGTCTTGCACTCAGATGTAAACTATATCCAGTATATATCCCCCCATTAGAATAAAAGATTTCAACGCTTCTTTATCTCCATCCCATATATGCTCGGAATTATTCCCATTTGTGCATACTGTCAGGTTCGTGTTACCATGCACTTTTGTTAATTAGAATTGTATGTCCTACATTAAAATTTCTGTGCCAATTTTTCATACTTGAAGATTTATTCTAGCTCACACTTGCCAAGATGGCCCTTGGAAAAGAATTTGAAATAAAGATGTACTGTCCGTTTTACAATGTTGCTCATCATAGGAAAAAATATTTTGATTTTTGATAGGGGAAGTGTATTAGTCTACTAAGGCTGCCATAACAAAATACCACAGACTGGGTGGCTCAAGCAATAAAAATTTATTTTTCACAGTTCTGATCCAAAATCAAGATGTCAGCAGGTTTGGCTTCTCCTGAGGCCTCTCTCCTTGGCTTGCAGATGGCTGTCTTCTGGCTGTGTCCTCACATGGCCTTTCCTCTGTGCATGCACACCTCTGGAGTCTCTTCCTCATCTTATAAGGATGCCAATCCTATTGGATTAGGGCCCCACCCTTATGACCTCATTTAACTCTAATTGCCTCTTTAAAGGCCCTATCTCCAAGTATAGTCTCATTGGAGTTAGGGCTACAATATATGAATTTTGAGGGAACACAATTCAGTCCATAACAGGTAGTAATGCTCTTAATCAAACATTCTGTAATATCTTCCTCTTGAGGAAAAAAATAAAATCTTAGGAAGGAAAGTGATAAAGTTATCATTTATATGTGATATCAAGTTATATGAAATATAAATTTTTATGTGAATCATTTATGAGATATCATTTTGCAATGAATGCACATAAAATAACCCTTAACTCTGCCTTTTAGCCTGTCTTAATAGAATTCACAAAGATTTAACAAAGGAACAGCTCAGCAGACTAGCAGTTCATACTTCCACATACTGTTTGCCAGAAGAGGCAAAAAAAGTATCCAGAATCAGAAACACCAGACGAGACTGTTGTTCTTGCTTCTACTCCAAAGTCAGATCTACAGATTTGGTCTTTATTCTCTGGAATTGTGGCTTCCACAGTTTAAACAAGCCTGAGCCTGACTTAAGTGGCTTCAAAACACAGAGCCCCAAGACTGAGGCCTTGAGCACAAACACGCGGTGAAACAAAGCCTGGTGTAGGGCCGGTGCACAGGTACAAGTCAGAGAGCCCTGGTCCCCTCCCCAAGTACAGACCACACTGGCTTTCTCACAACACTACTTCATGTTCTTTTGTATCATTTACAGTGTTCTTATTTTCTGAATTCTTTCAATGCTCTGGATTAGGGCTGCCAGATTTAGTAAATCAAATATAGGCTGCCCATTTAAATTTGAATTGCAGATAAACAATGAATATTATTTTAGTATAAATATGTCTCATGCAATATTTGGGACACACCTATACAAAAAAATACATTCCTTCATGAAACATACTAAAAAAAGTATTTCTTATTTCTCTGAAATTTAAATTTAACTGTGGGTGCTATACTTTACCTGGCGACTCTACTTTGGATTCAAGAATAAATCCTCCCCTTGCAACTCCCTCCCCCGGCCCACCACCCTCCTAAACGGCTCTCACCAACTTTGTAAATTTAATTTCCTGGTCGTAATTTGGTGCTGCCTTTGACCCCCACCCCAAAGCTGAAAGCCCCAGGCTCGGGCCTCCTCACATTCTGCAGCTCTGATGTTGGCTGTGGATGCTCAGTGTTAAAACACTGAGGTTTGTTTGCCCAACTCTCCCCACTGCTGAAGAATTGATGTCTTTACATCAAGGCCCCGAAATACCATGATAACCATCGCAGACATGATGTGCTTCATAATGTGGGAGGAACCTCTGAACCCCTGAACCCTGGGCTCCATCTGCTTACCTGTAAAATCAGGGCACTGGATTCAGGTACCTTCCCCAAGTTTCCTTCTAACAGTTCCTTGTTGCAAGTCTTTATGATGAGGGTTCCATGAATGCTCTCCTTTGCCTGTGAAACCTAAGTGGATGCATCTCCTTTCTCTGCAAGTAAGCAGTGTTGGCATGACTAGGGAAGCAGCGTTCAGATGACTAAGGAAGCAGCGTTGGGATGACCGAGGAAGCAGCGTTGGGATGACCGAGGAAGCAGCGTTGGGATGGCCGGGGGAGCAGCGTTGGGATGGCCGGGGGAGCAGCGTTGGGATGA